CATGAGACTCTTGATCTTGGGGTCATGAGTTCAAGCCCCACATTGGGCATAGGGCCTACTTTTTTTTAAAAAGTGTTATTTAATATCCAAATATTTGGAAATTTCCCAAATTTCATTCTTTGTCGTTTCTAATTCAGGTCTGCTGTGTTCGGAGAATATGTTTTATATGATTTCAGATCTTTTTAATTTACTGAGGCTTTTCATGGCTGAGCACATGGTCTATCCTGGAGAATGTTCCATTGGCACATGAAAAGAATGTGTGTTCTACTCCTGCTGGATGGACTGTTTTATAGATGTCAGTCAGTTCAAGTGTGTTGATGGTGTTGTTCAAGTGTTCTATATCCCTGCTGATATTCTGCTTGGCCTTTCTCTTCATAACTGAGAGATGGGGTGTTGACAGCTCCAACTGTTACTGTTAAATTGTCCATTTCTCCTTTCAATTCTGTCTATTCTTGCTTCATGTGTGTTGGGGCTTTGTTATTACATGCATATAGGTTCAAATTGTTCTATGTGCCTGGTAAATTTACACTTTTATCATTATAAAATACCCCCTTTGACTTTGATATTTTTTGTCTTAATGTCTATTTTGTCAGGTATTCGTATGGCTACCCAAGGACTTTTACAGTTGTTCTTTGAATGGTGTATCATTCCTCATCCTTTTTCAATGTAGCTATGTCCGCCAGAATAAAGTGTGTCTCTTGTAGACAGCATATAGTCGAATCTTTTTTCTTTTCTTTTTTCTTTTTTTTTTTTTTAGATTTTATTTATTTGGGAGTGAGAGAGACAGTATGACAGAGAGCACACAAGTGGGGGTGAGGGGCTGAGGGAGAGGGACAAGCAGACTCCCCGCTGAGCAGGGAGCCCAATGTGGGACTCGATCCCAGGACCCCGAGATCATGACTTGAGCTGAAGGCAGAGACACTCAACTGACTAAGCTACCCAGGCACCCCTGAATCTCGTTTTCTGACCTAACAGTCCATGCTTTTTTACCAGAATATGTAATCTATTCACGTTTAATCTGATTATTTCATGATGAATTTATATTTCCCATTCTGTTATTTCTTTTCTATATGTTTGGTGTCTTTTTTGTTTCACTCTTCCTTCTCTTTCTTCTTTTGTGTTAGATTTTTTTCCATTATACCATTTAAATTCCTTTGTTGAATTATTTTACTGTGTTTTTAAAAATCATGTTATTAATTGTTGCTTTAAGGATTATAAAATCTATCTTGTCACTATCTACTTCATGTTAGTACTAACTTACTTTAGGTAAAATATAGAAAACTTGCACTAATATAGCTCCATTTCTTCCTTTCCCCTCTTTGTGTCATTGTTGTCATATATATAATATCTTTATATGTTATAAGCTCAGCAAGAGTTTTATAATTATTTTATGCAATATTATATCTTTTAAATCTGTTAAGAGAAGATTTTAAAACATACAGTATTTTAAATTTACCTACATATTTGCCTTTTCTGGAGATTTTAATTTCTTCAAGTGAATTAGAATTATCTAGTGTCATTTTCTGGCAACCTGAAGGACTACTATTTCTAGAAAAACACATCCATCCATGAAAAAAGTAAGATTATTTTGGCTTTACAAAATACCAGGTAAACCAAGCTAGAGGCAGGTACAAGGATAAAATAAGAAGAGCACAAATATTTTATTGGTATCCATTAATTCCAGGCATACTCATATTCATGAGGTGTCTACACATAGTCTAGACAATTTAACTGTGAGGTGCCAGCAAATTCTTGGATTACCAGCCCATCCTCCTCCTCCAGCTGATGTGAGAGCAGGTTGGAGATTCCTTTTTAACGATTATTTTTTGGGGCACCTGGGTGGCTTAGTCGTTAAGTGTCTGCCTTTGGCTCAGGTCATGATCTCAGGGCCATGGGATCAAGCCCCACATCGGGCTCCCTGTTTCTCCCTCTCCCATTCCCCTGCTTGTGCTCCCTCTCTCACTGTCTCTGTCAATTAGATAACTAAATTCTTTAAAAAAAATTATTTTTTGAAAGGAAATTTCGCAGCAGGGAGCACTTTGCCCCTTTCTTCTGGACTTCTGCACTGCCACCTCAGGCTAAGAGAGGGGGCCCCAAGGTGATTCAGAATCATGGAGGTTGCCTTCTAGATGGGGAGACTAACATCTGATCTGCAGACACTCACCCACCCATCTGATTTTGTCTCTGTGGCACAGCTTGAGAGTTTTTAAGAGCTTCCCCTTAAGATTTGGGGGTGGGAGGCTATACTGATGACTGCTCCCACCTGGATGAACCTGTAAAGAGCAGGCTGGTGTGGCAGCCTGGAATGGCCGGGTGAAGAAAGAGAGCGGCAGTGTAGACAGTGTGCAGTTCTAGAGTCTGGTGGAGTGAGGGTGTGAGTTTTCCCAGGGGTCAGGCAGATGCCACAGAAGGCAGCCACCTGGAAGAATCTTGAGGGTTCTTGCCCTAAGTTGAGAGTCTGTCAGTGGAGGAGACTGGGGGCTAGGAGTAACCCCTGTGGTAGAAACTGAGGTAGTAAGTAACTGAGCTGAGGGGTGTTTGTATGAATTTAATGTCTTTTGGCATGGGACCACCAGAATGACCCTACGGTCCCTCTGCTACTCTTCTGCATCACTGCTAAGCCTGTGCAGAACTTACGAAGCTCTTGCTATTGTCAATGGTTTGGTTTCACCCATTTGCTTTCTGGGGCTCCTGGGGATGCTTGTCACCTTGTTTTGTTCAAAAGGTAGCCAGTGATTTTTTTTTCTTTCACTGTAATGGTTCTGTTTTGAGACCGTGTTTAGGGAAATCAAGAACTACACTGCCATCAGCACCTTCCCCCAACCTGGTTAACACTGACTTTTCGAAGAAAAGCTAGTCCAGTTGGCTTGTAGAATGTCTCACACTCTGTATCCTCTGTTTCCTCATGATGTCACCTAAACTTTTCCTTTATCTCTTGTACTTACTATAGAATTGAAGTTAGGTCTCCAGGCTTGATCAGTTTCAGGTTAAGCATTTTTTTAAAATTTTATTTATTCATTTGACAGAGAGAGAGATCACAAGTAGGCAGAGAGAGAGAGAGGGAAGCAGACTCCCTGCTGAGCAGAGAGCCCAAAGCGGGGCTCCATCCCAGGACCCTGAGATCATGACCTGAGCTGAAGGCAGAGGCCCAACCCACTGAGCCACCCAAGCACCTCCAGGTTAAGCATTTTTGCCAAGAATATGTCATAGGTGCTACAGTGCAACCCGCTGTTTGTGATGCTGTTTTCTATGCAAGGAGCAAATAATCTTAGAGTGATGTTTTGATTCTACATTTAAGGACCTGTTCTAAAACCACCTTTTATCAAATGCTTTCAACATCTGCTGTGGACTTAATGTTTGTGCCCCCCCCTTCAAATTCATTTGTTGAAATCCTAACCCCCGATATGATAGTGTTAGGAGGTGGGGGCCTTTGGGAGGTGACTAAGTCACGAGTGTGGATTCATGAATGGAATTAGTGCCCTTATAAGAAAAGGGCAGAGAGCTAGCTCACCCCTTTCCCACCATGTGAGGATACAAGAACACAGTCATTTGCAACTTGAAAGTGGGCTCTCGCCAAGAAGCCAGCCATATTGGCACCATGATTTTTGACTTCCAGCCTCCAGAACTATGAAATTTCTGGCTGTTGATAAGCTACTCAGTTTATGGTATTTTGTTTTAACAGTTCAAACTAAGAAAATATCCCTTAAGTTTCCTTGCTTGAATCAATTATGATTACATGGAGGTATGTAAAAAAGTGATTTTATATTTACATCAATTTTTAATATTTATTAGGTGGCATTCTTATAGAATAGCTGCTGTAGTGAAAGGGGTGCCTGGGTGGCTCCGTCGCTTAAGCATCTGCTTTCAGCTCAGGCCATGATCTCAGAGTCCCAGGATTGAGCCCCACATCAGGGTCCCTGCTCAGTGGGGAGTCTGCTTCTCCCTCTGACCCTCCCCTTCTTGTGCTTTCTCTCGCACTCAAATAAATAAATCTTTTTTTTTCATTTATTATATTAGTCACCACACAGTACATCATTAGTTTTTGATGTAGTGTTCCAAGATTCATTGCTTGCATATAACACCCAGTGCTCCATGTAATAGATACCCATCATCTGGGTCACCCATCCCCCCACCCCCTTCCCTTCTAAAACCCTCAGTTTGTTTCCCGGAGTCCATAGTCTCTCATGGGTCATCTCCCACTCCAATCCCCCCACCTTCATCTTCCCTTCCTTCTAATGTCCTCCATGTTATTCCTTATGTTCCACAATTAAGTGAAACCATATGATAATTGACTTTCTGCTTGACTTATTTCACTCAGCATAATCTCCTCCAGTACCATCCATGTTGATGAAAACCCATGTTGGGTATTCATCCTTTCTGGTGGCTGAGTAATATTCCATTGTATATACGGACCACATCTTCCTTTATCTTTTTAAAAAAGGGTCAGACAATACGCCCTCTTTGGTGTCTTGCTTCTTAATAGAAACAGAGAAAGATTTGCTGTAGTGAATACTGTAGTACTCACTCAGAGCTCCTGTTGAGGGCCAATACATCGTGCTCCCAGCTCCTGGGAGAATCAGCTTCTGACCTCACAGCTATCTCTTACTGGAAACTGCTCTCAGCCACAGAGAACTGCCTCACTTGAAGTTATACCTTCACCCCCCACCACTACCCAGGGAGCAGGCAGTAGTCAATGAGTGTCTGATGTAGGAATACAAAAATCCAGCCCAATCTCCTCAACTTGGGACAACTCTGAAGGGCCATCTCAGCTCTGGAACTCCCCGTAGGGTTGTATGAGGCCTTGGTTGCAATTACATTCTGGGCAAATCCTCCCTCTGTCCAATCCTATCTTTTTCACCCTCTTGCAGATGTTTTTCCCCAATAAATCTGTATGCAGTTCCCTCGCTATTAAGTTGGAACTCATTCTAAGAATAAGACAAAGAGCTTTGTCCTTTTCTTCTTTTATCTTTTTTGTTCCTTTTTTGAGTATCACGATGAACTCATGGATTTTTATCTATTTATTTAATGTATTATAATAAATTGTAGCCATTACTTTTTGGTGTTCAAATGATCTCAGATGTGGCCAGCGAAGGTCCTTCATGATGCTTCTTGTGTCCTTTAGACATGTCCCATTGGGCTTTCAGTCCATCTTTGCTTTCTAGAGCGTAAGATCAGCGTGTAAGTTACCCATGCTCACCATGTAGTCTCCTAGCCCCAGAATCAGACATTCCTCTAAAACTCTGTTTCCTTTTAGAGGGAATGGTACTAAAAATCAAGATCTGGGTACTAGGAGTAAACTGTTCTTTTAATTTCACTTTCTAAATGTCTTTTGCTGGTATACAGAAATATAATTTATTTTTATACAGATATTTCACTATGGTCACATCAGATTACAATCAAGTTCTACTGAACATTATTCTCTATCAGTTAGAAATATTTCCAGCTATAAATGACAGGAAGGTGGCTCATAATCACCTGGAAAAGCAAGATGTTTAGTTTGTTCATCTAATAAGGAGTCTGGTGATAGCTAGTCTGTGACTGATGCAATGGTTCAATGATCCTGTCAGGGAGAGGACACACGATTAGAAAATCTAAATTGTCCTGTATCTATTATATACATTTAATCTGTAATTAAAAACTTTTCCACAAGGAAAACTCAAGGTTCACATGGCTTGCCTGATGAATTTTATCAGGTGGCTAAGGAAGAACACTGATGTTTCACAAACTCTTCCAAAGAAAAAGAACTCTTCCAAAGAAGGAACCTTTCCCATCTTGTTCTTTGAGATCAGCATTACTTTGATCCAAGAGCTGACAAGAACGTTACAAGAATGGAAAATTCAGTTCAATCTTTTTCAATATATTCTAAATGAAATGTTAGTACACTGACTCCATAAATACATTAACAAATAATGCATCATTAAAAAACTGGGTTTATTCTGGAAATGCAATATTTGTAAATCAATGAATATGTTACACCGATAGAATAAAGGAGAAAATTCACATCTCACCAGATACAGAAAAGACATTTTAAAAATGCAACATCCATTCATTTTAAATCCTCTCTGTGAACCAAGGATAGAAGGGAACTTTCTTAAACCGGTAACTGGTAGCTACAGAAATTATATAGAAAGGATTCTTCTTCCAAATAGGACAGGTTATCTCGTCTCATACTAATTCTTTGGCTGATAGAAACCATAAAAACTAGATAAAATACCCCCCAAAGCTTAGCTTTTTTAAAGGTGTCAGATATAAACCCAGGAAACGTCTTTAGAGTGGTCTAGATGATTAAATTAAGAGAAACACACTGAAGTGAGCTGCTTCTTTTTCCCTTGATGCATCTGTTAATCCTGAAGCTGTATGAAGCCAAGCTTAAGAGCAGAAATGGTAATTCAGAGCTTTGAGAAGTCTCATGAAGTAGGGCATAAAAACTGTTTTACTGCTTCCTGCTAAGGTAACCAGAACTTGAAGGTCAAGACCAAAAAAAAAAAAAAAAAAAAAAAAAAGGCACCACAGAAAATGGAACTCCAAATAGTGGGCACAGTTCAATTTCTAAACTACACAAGACAAGATGTCATGAAATCAAGCAGAAAGCAGAAGTAGGGGCGCCTGGGTGACTCAGTGGGTTAAAGCCTCTGCCTTTGGCTTGGGTCATGATCTCAGGGTCCTGGGATCGAGCCCCATATCGGGTTCTCTGCTTGGCGGGGGGCCTACTCCCCCCCCCCAGCCTGCCTCTCTGCCTACTTGTGATCTCTCTGTCAAATAAATAAATAAATAAGGTTTAAAAAAAAAAAAAAGAAAAAGAAAGCAGCAAGTAAGTGGCCAAAAACTTAAGGAGAGCTTTTAGAAATCTCATAGTGACAGAGAGACAAAAATCAGAGATCTGTCAAGGTCTGTCAGGGTTTCAGGTAAAAATCCCGAATGGCTTTGACCTAGGAGGGGCAAAGCAGATAAAGATGAGGTCTCATAAACATGAAATAGGGCCTCAAATTATCTTATTCCTTGATAGGATCAAGGTTATTGGTTTCTACTCTATTGGGCTCCCAGAAAAAAAGGAAACTGTTTCTGGAAGATAGTATCATCCAGAGAAATCTTTTTTTTAATTTTTTTAGAAAGATTTTATTTATTTATTTATTTATTTATTTGACAGAGATCACAAGTAGGCAGAGGCAGGCAGAGAGACGGGGGGGAAGCAGACTCCCCGCCAAGCAGAGCCCAATGCAGGGCTCGACCCCAGGACCCTGGGATCATGACCTGAGCTGAACACAGAGGCTCCAACCCAATGAGCCACCCAGGCGCCCCAGAGAATCTTTTAAAACTTTGCATATACAATTTCTGGTGTTCGGAAAAAAAAAAATCACAGGCTGCCATGAGTTAGATGAAGGAAACCAAAATAAAACAGATGATACAAATAAACCCAACAGCAATCCAAATATTTGCATTATCAGACACAAACTTAAAAAAAAAGACACTATGATTACTATGTCAAGAAATTAGGTGACAAAATGATTGATATCTATTACAAAGAATGGAATGGAAATTCTAGAACTGAAAACATAGCTTAAATTAAGCACTAAATAGATGTTAGATGTAGCATAATAGCAACTTGGTGAATTGGAAGAGAGTTAGTAGAGAATGTCCAGGCTGAAGCACTGTGGGGGAAAAAAAAAAAGAAAAACAATGGAAAGAATATAAGAGACATGGAACACAGTAGAAAGATCCAATATATGTTTAACTGGAAGGGATACCAATTTGAAGAGAGATCAAAATTCACAAAAGATAATGAGCCATCGATTCAAAAAGCTCTCTACTCATGCAAAGCAGAATGAATACAAAGGAAATCAGAGCTAGGCAAATCATAGTGAAACTGCTGAAAACAAAAGAGAAAAAGGAAAAATCGAATTGCTGCCAGAGAAAAAAGGCGCGTCACCTTCTCAGGAGAAACAATAAAAATGGCAGCTGCCTTTTCAACAAATTCAGTGAAAACCAGAATACAATGAAATGCTATCTTTATTTTCCCTTTTTTTTTTTTCTGAGAGAGCCTGTGTGTGTGAGCAGGGGGGAGAGGCAAAAGGAGAGAATCTCTTTTTCTTAAAAGATTTTATTTATTTATTTGAGAGAAAGGGAGAGAACATGAGCAGGGGGTGGTGGTGGAGGGAATCAGAGGGAGAAAGAGAAGCAGACTGCCCACTGAGCACTGAACGCCATGTACTGGCTTGAACCCAGGACCCTGAGATCATGACCTGAGCCGAAGGCAGAGGCTTAGCAAACAGAGCCACCCAGGCGCCCCATAGAGAGAATCTCAAGCAGGGTCCACACTCAGTGCGGAGCCCAGTGAGGAGCTCCTCTATCCCACAAACCTGAAATCATGACCAGAGCAGAAATCAAGAGTTGGACACTCAACTGACTGAATGAAATGGTATCTTTAAAGGGCTGAAATGCAAGTACTGCTAACTTGGAATTCTATTCCCAGATTTTATAAGATTGATTTATTTATTTGAGAGAGTGAGAGAGAGACAGAGTGAGACCCAGCACACGGTGGGGAAAGACAGTGGGAGAGGGAGGGAGAAACTCAGACTCTGAGCCAATCATGGAGCCCCAGGCAGGGCTTGATCTCATAACCAGAAGATTACGGCCAGGGCCAAAACCAAGAGTCTGACACTTAACTAACTTTGCCACCCAGGCACCCTGAGAAAACACCCTTTTAAAGTAAGGATGGAATAAAGTTGGTTTCAGAAAAACCAAAACTGATCAAATTAATTTTCAGCAACCTACGCTAAAATACTCAAGATATGCCTTAAAGTTAGAAAATAGTGATCCTTAAAAAAATAAAAGGGCAAAAAGGAATGGAGAGGACTGTAAAGAGAAAATAAGTAGGTAAATCTATATAGACACTGACGGTCTTAAACAATTATAGTATCACATCGAGAGGAATAAAATATACGTAGAGGTAAAATCCAGGTTGACAACAGAACAAAAGGATGGAACTGAGCAACAATTTTTTACTTCACTGAATTCGGGAGGAAGTAATGGCATTCATCTACAAGAGATTAATAAATCAGTGATGTCTGTCATAAGCTCCAGGGTAACTATACAAGTAGAATTAAAACTGCAGGAAAGCAGACTTGCTCAGCTCCCACGCAGGGCATGCACCAGGCCCTCTGCTCCTCAGCCATGGAAAAGCACTGCTGCGCCTTCCAGGCCTTCCAGATGCCGCTGCTGTGACCCGCGTGTTGCTGAGGGCAGACTCAAACTGGGTTCAGAAGGTCCACGTCCTGGGATGGCAAAAACACACTAAAGAGTACCCATCCGAACATTTGCAGCAACGGTGTGACACGGGTCTCCAAGGCCCCCCTCAGGCCCCATGATGCCCTAGAACTCGGGACTCAGAAACGCTGTTCTGCTTCTCAGAAGCCTGCAAGGCCTCCTGAGCTGTTTGATGCGTGGTTAGAACTTACTGCAGGGGAAGCGTGCGGAGTAGAAGAGCAAAGGGAAAAGGGGTAGGGGTGAGGCCCATTAGCAGCCAGGCATGACATGGCAGTGATTGCCCCCCAAAGGAGTCCCAAGGTCACCGATTCATTCTCCCAGGAACGATGTGTGTGACAAAACCTGCCACGCACGGCCAGCCAGGGAAGCTCGCTCCAGCCTTGGGGGCCGGAGCCTTGCCAGGAGGTTGTGCTGGCAGGCGGCATTCCTGTGACTGAGGGTAGCTACTCAGGCTACCGCCCTCCAGAGGCCAAACTAATACAGCACGGCCCAGGGCCTCACGCAGGCAAACCCAGACCCTCAGCCTGAGTCACACTGTCTGCAAACGCTCTCGGGCCACCATGGAACGGCGATGCTCACACTACAGTCTCACTAGGCAGAATGTGACAGGGGCTTAGCGGTGGTCTCCCAGGAGCCAGACAACGACCAGTGCTCCTGCAACAGGATTTTCTGTGGAATGTACGGGCCTCGAGCAATCCGGGCCTCCTGGGTTTACCCCTTACAATTAATTTTCACTTCATTAGAAGTCTAGTGGCCGACAGGAAAAAATGTTTTCAGGTGAGTATGAGTGGTGACCCTGGGTAAGGATGGAACCGGGCACGGGCACGACTGTGCAAGAAGGCAGCAAAGGGGAAGCCCACGCTATGGGAAGGTACAGCAACGGCACCAACAGGCTACCGAGTGTGTGCGAGAGGACGTAAACCGCCAGCACAAACCAGGAGCCTGACGTGGGCTCAATCCTGGGCTTGGGGCTCTAAGATGCGCCCTACGTCAGTCACAACAGCCCTTGAGGCAGGTGGTCCTCAGCTGTGACCCAAGGGGCCAGAAAGTGCTGGAGACGAGCCTATTCCCCTATGGACTGATCTATCCGAATATCCCGGGCAGAGGCCCCACCGGAGGAACACCTTGCATGCTTCCCGGGTCTGAAATGGCGAAGCCACACTAGAAATGCTACCGTTGCCTGAGTAACACACACGTGTCCTTCCCCAGGCCCCCCGCCAACCGCTCGGTCTAGTCTTTCTGTGCGAGCACCTGCCCGTGTCTTACGAGGATCCGGGAGAGTCTGACCAGGGCCCAGCACCAGGGACTTCTGCAGCTGGGGCTTTCTCAGCTGTGCTCGGGGCACTAGCATACCAACTCTGCTAAACCTTTCCTGCCTCCCCACGGTGACGGCCCAAAAGAAGGACAGCAGGTCTCTTCTCTAGAAATAAACAGGCGGCGTCTCCAAGCCCGGCCGTCACTTACAAACGCACACGGAATGCACTCACAGCGGGCAGCAGTACCCACTCACGCGCCTCAGGGACAGCGGGCTCTTCCCCTGGGATCCTAAAGGCTTGGGCCGTCACTTCCCAGAACTCTGCGCTGTAGATCCGGGCTAGGAATCCCCCAAACCACCGGGGAACCTTAGTTCGCTCCTCGAAGGCAAAAGGAAAGACCGGGAGAAAGCAGTATGTTCCCGTGGAAGCTTACCTACGTGCACGCGGGACTGCGTGACGGTTTTTGCCACAGCCTTCCCTCACAGTGCGTGGCACCTGTGGCTCGAGCTCACAAGGAATCGGGCACATCTGACCTGAGACCCGACCACGCACGGCCCAGGGTTCTGCTCGGGGCCCAGGCAGCTACAAGGGCGCCCCACACTTGGCCTCTTTTCCCCACACCCTGACGGAAACAGCAAACTTTCCTCAACGGCACTGACAGGCCTTATTAGCGGCCACGCTACCAGTGGCTGCCACTGCCAGAGACCAAAACTCTCTGCTTCTTTAGGCGGTGCTGTCAGCAAAACCACACTCTCCCAAGACGCCCGAAACTGGAGGTCCCTGAAACAGGTCCCTGAAACTGGAGCAGCACGATTTCTTTCAGGAGAATCGGGCAGAGGCGTCCGCGTCTGTGGGTGTGGCTGCCCTCCAGCCCCGCGCCCAGGCTCTCCTCCGGGACTCTTCCCCCGACAGCGCCTGCCCCCGGCCCTCTAACTCCTTCGGACCCGGGACCCGCACTGCTCCCGGGGAACGGCCCCGCCCCCAAGATGGCCGCGCCCCTGTGCCGCTGACGACGGCCGCGGGAGCCGCTACCGTTTCTTATTCCGACGAGCTGAAGGAAGCGGAGAGCGTGGCTTTGCGGGGTGGCCGGTGCGCAGCAGAACGGCGCGGGACACAGCGCCTCGGCCTCCGAGGCAGCGGGAGTGG